GTGTGATCTCAGCTCACTGCAACCTCCGACTCCCAGGTTCAAGCAATTCTCCTGCCTCAGCCTCCCAAGTAGCTGGGATTACAGGCACCTGCCACCACGCCTGACTAATTTTTTAGTAGAGATGGGGTTTCACCATGTTGGCCAGGCTGGTCTTGAACTCCTGACCTCAAGTGATCCACCCACCTCGGCCTCCCAAAGTGCTAGGATTACAGGCGTGAGTCACCACGCCCAGCAAAAATACCTATTTTTATTTAAAAAGAATTGTTCTTTCTGAAGTTTAAATATGACAGTATTGAGCAAAGTTACTTCCAAAGCATACATTCTAGAGAAACACAGAACTTCACTTACTGCTCCTTCAGGGATACATATGGCTTTCACAGTTCCATGGGGCTTACTAAGTGCATCTTGAAGAAATCCAATCTCTGTGTTTCTGAACACATCACTGATATCTATAATCTGGAAAATGGGTAACAAAAAGAGATAACTAAATATGAAGTAATTTTTATCTGAAAACATTTTACAAACAAGATTTTAAAGAAGAGAATAGATCTTGATAATTTAACATTTATAGACTACATTCAAAGAGTGTTTACCATGGGTTAAGCAATATGACCAGTGTTTTACATATACTCATTCATTTAATCTGCATAAAACTATGAGGTTAGCACTCTTTATTATCCCTATTTCATAGATGAAACCAAGACACAGAAATAAGGAACTTGCCCAAGATGGCATAGCTAGTAAGTGGCAGAGTCAGAATTTAACCCAAGCAGTCTGATTTAAGAACCAGATTAAGATTCCAGGCTTGGTGCAGAGGCTCACGCTATAATCTCAGCACTTTGGGAGGCTGAGGTGGGCAGATCACCTGAGGTCAGGAGGTCAGTCTGGCCAACATGGCAAAACCCCATCTCTACTAAAAATACAAAAATTAGCCAGTGTGGTGGTACGTACCTGTAGTCCCAGCTACTTGGGAGGATGAGGCAGGAGAATCACTTGAACCCAGGAGGTGGAAGTTGCAGTGAGCCAAGATCTCACCACTGCACTCCAGCCTGGGCAACAGCGCGAGACTCCATCTCAAAAAAAATAAAAAAAGAACCACTATTCCATATTACAAACGAAGGAACAAGAAGTAGTTGAGTTGGCAGCTATAAGTTGGTAGTTATGACTTTTTGTGTATTGTATTTTTTTCATTCTAAGAATTGAGCACTGACTATTCACAGACCAGGCAGGACTCGATTTCTAAAGAACGTGCACTGAGAACTGAGATATAGAAATGTCACCGGCATTATGGAGATCAAGGGATATTGCTCTTTAAGAGCAAACAAGTAGAGGTCTGGTAATGAAACTGTTCTATATAAATTCTACCCCTGCCTTAAATACTTACAGATATTAATAATTTGAATAAACATTGTCATATGTTTGAGATTTTTATGGACCAAGGAAACTTAGTAACTCCTTGGCTTTAAAAAAAACGGAAAAGGAAAGAATAGTTATTTTTTCTTTCAAGTTACCATTCATATCCATATAATCAGTAACTTGCAAGTAATAAAAACTTTACAGCAAGAATGTTGCTCTTGGAAATGGATCTTGGAACATGATAGATAGAAAGCACTGTATTGCTAACATGCTATTATTCTCTCTTGCTCTAGCTCTGTAACAACAAAGGTAACAAGGTCACAAAAATATCCTCTAACAGTGTGTAACACTTGTCAATTTCAAAGTGGTTTAAAAAGACTGCAGGATTATTTGGGGACAGAGTCCTAGAAAAGTGAAGATAAGTACCTTCATTCCAAAGCGAGTGTCGGGTTTATCAGTTCCATAGGTGGCCAGCGCCTCAGTAAAAGTCACAGTGGGAAAAGGAACAACCACAGGATCTTTGTCATTGGGCCAGGAATATTGGAGCAAACCCTCAATTAAACTCTGGATCCCAGTCTGGTCTACAAAAGACATCTCTATGTCAATCTGAAACCAAAGTAACATATGGAAACTAATTTAGCCACAGTATATACACGTTTATGTATTTTTCTGCTTTCAAGTTACTATAGAATTTTGCACATAAATAATACATGCAGAGAGTATAAATATTATTGTACATCTCTTTTATGTCAGACACTGGGCTAATGGCCTTACATACATTAACTTGTTTAGTTCTCACAACTATTGCATGGCTGAAGGCTCAGAGAACTAAGTTACTTATTTGCGTATGTGCAATTAGTAAGCAGCAAAGCTACATCTGATCCCAGGTCTGTCCAACTCCAAAGCTCATAATTTTTTCACTTCAACACATGATTAAAATGCTATTGGCCAGGTATGGTGGCTCACGCCTGTAAACCCAGCACTTTGGGAGGCCGAGGCAGGCGGATCACGAGGTCAGGAGATCGAGACCATCCTGGCCAACATGGTGAAACCCTGTCTCTAATAAAAACACAAAAAATTAGCCGGACATGGTGGCACACACCTGTAGTCCCAGCTACTTGGGAGGCTGAGGCAGTTGAATTGCTTGAACCCGGGAGGTAGAGGCTGAAGTGAGCCAAGATTGTGCCACTGCACTCCAGCCTGGGAGACAGAGCAAGACTCTGTCTCAAAAAAAATAAAATAAAATAAAATAAAATAAAATAAAATAAAATAAAATAAAATAAAATGCTATTATACAGAAAGCCAATCATAATAGCTTTGGTAAGTCCACATATTAGATTAAAATATCAATATATAAAATTATTCGTTCTTAATATATAAGAGATTTGTTTTAAGGATTTTATCATGAACACTAGAACATGACTTAAGGACTTTATCATGAACATTAGAACACTTTAGGAATTTCTGGCATTCCTTAGTTGCTGACCACATTCTTTATGAAAAGGACATATGCTCGCTTTGGCAGCACATATACTAAAATTGGAATGACAGTGTGGCCCCTGTGCTATCCAAGGAAAGAAAAAAAATTTTAAAAAGGACACATGCAATGGATAAAAAAAACTGAATAGTTTCTCAACTGCAGGTGAGTTTAATTAACTATCTGATGGATAAAATGTAATGAGAAGTAAAGTATTAATACTGCACTGGTCTTGAAAATACTATTTTAGGCTGGGCGCGGTGGCTCACGCCTGTAATTCCAGCACTTTGGGAGGCCAAGGAGGGTGGATCACAAGGTCAGGAGATAGACACCATCCTGGTGAATATGGTGAAACCCCGTCTCTACTAAAAATATAAAAAATTAGCCAGGCATGGCGGTGTGCGCCTGTAATCCCAGCTACTCAGGAGGCTGAGGCAGGAGGATGGTGTGAACCCAGGAGGCAGAGCTTGCAGTGGGCTGAGATTACGCAACTGCACTCCAGCCTAGGTGACAGAGCAAGACTCTGTCTCAAAACAAACAAACAAACAAACAAAACAACAAAAAAAACTATTTTCAAAATAGTAAGCCTGAATTTTAAGAAACAAGTGAATATAACTTTGTACCTGAGTAAATTCAGGCTGTCTGTCTGGTCTTGAACCTTCATCTCGATAACATCGGGCAACCTGAAAATATCTGCAATTAAGAAATAGCATTAATTGAGTCATGATTCTAGGAAGGCATATACACTTTTTCCCAAAAGTTTAAGGCAATGCAAGTAATAAAACAATGATACTTAAAAAATGTAAGAAGGGCCGGCCATGGTGGCTCATGCCTGTAATCCCAGCACTTTGGGAGGCCGAGGCGGGCAGACTGCAATGTCAGGCATTCACAACCAGCCTGGCCAACATGGTGAAACGCTGTCTCTACTAAAAATACAAAAATTAGTCGGGTGCGGTGGTGTGCACCTGTAATCTTAGATACTCGGGAGGCGAAGGCAGGAGAATCACTTCAACCTGGGAGGCAGTGGTTGCAGTGAGCCAAGATCGCGCCATTGCGCTCCAGCTTGGGTGACAGAGCAAGACTCTGTCTCAAAAAAAAAAAAAAAGTAAGAAATACTTTTATTTTTTATGACACTTTAATAGAATTAGATATACAGCTGACCTATGAGAAGTTGTTCTATATATTGTTTTCAAAATAAACACTGGCATCTCTGGATGTTCGTACATTAGACTGGCATGCAAATCAGTCCATGCCAGTTCTTTTTATTAAAACATTTTTTTTAGTCCATGCTTCTTCATATACACTCTTTTGCTTTGACCAAAGTGAAATACTTACTGTACCATGGATACACATGAGACTTTCTGTGCTATGCCATTCCAACTCTCATCTTCAACTGCTGAAATGTAGCTCTGTCCTCAAAGGTCTAGCTCACAAAGTTTTCTAAATTTCCTCAAACAATATAATTTTAAAGCTCTTAATACCTAATTTGCAAATCTCAATACATTTACATTTGGTTTATATCACAGTTGGTTTTATTCATTATCCTATTCTGGCTTACTAGCCTTAACTAACACCTTGAGAGCAGAACCTATTCTTTTTTTTGTTGTTGTTTAAATCCCCTCTCACATCTACTAGCACAGAGCTTTGTATGTGGTAGCCACCCAATAAACCTTTAATAAAGGATTATTACGAATTATGAGGGTATTTTATAAGTATTCTCCAAACTCTCAAAAATTTTCTATCCTTCTCTTGAGAACAGAGAGGATTTTGTGTTTCCTTTTTTCCCTTTGTTTTTCTCTTTTCCTTCTCTGACAACTGCTACCATAAAAAAAAGCTCACCTGTCTAAACCGCCAACCATCAAAAGTTGCTTAAACTGTTGAGGACTCTGAGGGAGAGAATAAAACTTTCCAGGTTCCCTGGATGGTACTAAAAACTCTTTGGCACCCTTTCAAAGAGAGAGAGAGAGAGAAGACAGATTATTAAAAAACAAAAACAAATCCAAGGTATAACTGACTAGTAGAAGCTGTTACTTCAGTTTATCACTGAATGACTAAAGAACAAAGTTCCTACAATGACAGAGATAATTTCCCACTTATCTTTGAGTCCCTAAAAAGACTTGCACATAATAGGCTTTAAACACCATTATATATTGTAGGTGTTAAGTTTATACTTGTGGAATTGAATTTCCAATTCTGTTACTAGATGAATGAATTTTGTGTATCATTTCCTATCCAAGTAATTCCTAATTGCATTTCCAAATTAAACTGTAGTTTTATAATTTCATAGACTGTATAAATCGAGTAAATATTAATGTTTAGAAATGTCATTTTTTTTTTGAGACAGAGTCTTGCTCTTGTCGCCCAGGCTGGAGTGCAATGGCACAATCTTGGCTCGCTGCGACCTCCGCCTCCCGGGTTGAAGTGATTCTCCTGCCTCAGCCTCCCAAGTAGCTGTGATTACAGGCATCTGCCACCACCACACCCTGCTAATTTTTGTATTTTTAGTAGAGACAGGGTTTTGCCATGTTGGCCAGACTGGTCTTGAACTCCTGACCTCGTGATCTGCCCACCTTGGCCTCCCAAAGTGCTGGGATTACAGGTGTGAGCCACTGCCCCTGGCCAGAAATGTCCATTTTTATTTATTAAAAAGAATTTCTTTTTGAGAGAGAGTCTTGCTCTGTCACCTAGGTTGGAGTGCAGTGGTACAATCTGGGCTCACTGCAAACTCCGCCTTCTGGATTCAAGTGATTCTCCTGCCTCGGCCTCTCGAGTAGCTGGGATTACAGGTTCCTGCCACTGCACCTGGCTTTTTTTTTTTTTGAATTGTTGTCTCACTCTGTCTCCCAGGCTGGAGTGCAATGGCATGATCTTGGCTCATTGCAACCTCTACTTCCTGGGTTCAAGCGATTCTCCTATCTTGGCCTCCTAAGTATTTGGGACTACAGGTGCCTGCCACCATACCTGGCTAAATTTTTTTTTGTACTTTCAGTAGAGACGGGGTTTCACCATGTTGGTCAGGCGGGTCTTGAACTCCTGATCTCAGGTGATCCACCCACTTCAGCCTCCCAAAGTACTGGGATTACAGGCATGAGCCACAGTGCCCGGCCTAATTTTTGTACTTTTAGTAGAGACGAGGTTTCACCATGTTGGCCATGGTTGGCCAGGCTGGTCTCTAACTCCTGACCTCAGGATCTGCCCGCCTCGGCCTCCCAGAGTGCTGAGATTATAGGTGTGAGCCACTGCGCCTGGCCGAAAAATGTCAATTTTTAATATATGAGAGACTTATTCTTTAATTTTTTTTCCTCTTCCATTTTTTTTTTTCTTTAAAGAGAAAGGGTCTTGTTGCCCAAGCTGGTCTTGGACTCCTAGAATCAAGTCATCCTTCTTGCTTCAGCCTCCCAAAGTACTAAGACTACATGTATGAGCCACTGCGTCTGGCCAAGAGATTTGTTCTTAAAGAACCAATTCATTGGCTGGGCGTGGTGGCACACACCTGTAATCCCAGCACTTTGGGAGGCCGAGGCAGGTGGATCACCTGAGGTCAGGATTTTGAGACCAGCCTGGCCAACATGGCGAAACCCCGTCTCTACTAAAAAAATACAAAAATTGGCCAGGCACGATGGCTCATGCCTGTAATCTCAGCATTTTGGGAGGCCGAGGCGGATGGATCATGAGGTCAGGAGATCGAAACCATCCTGGCTAACATGGTGAAACCCCATCTCTACTAAAAAATACAAAAAATTAGCCAGGCATGGTGGTGGGCGCCTGTAGTCCCAGCTACACAGGAGGCTGAGGCAAGAGAATGGCATGAGCCTGGGAGGCACAGCTGGCAGTGAGCTGAGATCGCGCCACTGCACTCCAGCCTGGGCAACAGAGCGAGAC